GAGAAAACCCGACAGAAATTCCTGATCCGGGTGGCGTGCTCCTCAGACAACATACGTAAAACTCGGAAAATGCTCATCTCCTGGAGCACTAGAGATTCCGTCATGAAATCACCTTTGCACCGACGTGATCTCATGTGCATTGAAGCGTGTTTAACAGGCAACTGGGTAGTTCAGTTTTTGTCCTTCCTCCACCTGCACACGCCAACGCGAAGGAGCAGTAATCCTTCACTGACACGCTCCTTTCGCTCTAAATCTGCCAGGCTGCAGTATGCGAGACTCCCTTTTCACCGAATTGGTGTGGCACCCCACTTTTGGGACGTTCCTTGACGTATGGCTTATATGCCGTATGCGTTGCGCGCTTTCTCATTTTTACACTGTTCGTTGCGCACGACTAACTTTTATGATGTGCATGCCTGTAACTGATTGCTGTGCTTGTAGGTGATCATGCACTTAACATAAACATAAAAGCACTTCAAAGCGACGTGGGAATACGTCAGCCAGCAACTATAACTGGGCCATTGAGCGAACACGAAATGTGGCTCGCTGCCGAAGCACAAGTGTCTTATACGTCAACAGATGGCAGGCAGTGTGGAACTCTTATACCCGGCGGCAGTTGGTTTTTGTGCTCGTCTGGCGCCAGCGCCGGCGGCGGCGGTCGCGGTAACTGAGGCGGGATGGTGTGTACCAAGAGGTTCAATAGATCGCCCGCTTTGACGGAGGAAGCCTGTTCTGCGGTTTCACTTACCATTAGGTACAACCATCGCAGTTCTGCGCTGTTCGAGCCCACCTTCATACCGGAACGGCAGCTTCTGACAGAATGCGAGTAAACGTGTACTTTATGCAGAAGACTGATGTTTTGGCGGCCATGACTGAAGACGTAAAAAGGGCTTGCTAAAATGTAATTATTTGAGACTTGAGCTCACTTGAGCCTATTTGAGACAGGATGGGAAGTAGACACGTTGGTACAGAGAATCTTGATATGGATGATTATGGGCCAGGGACCAAACCTCCCCAAGAGGTAGCTTTTCAGCCGTTCGTTAGTGCTTTTAGCTACATCGTGGCGCTTTGGCAACCACATTCGTGGGCCGAGGACAGTTAGGTGAGTTTGGGGGGAGAGAGAGAGAGAGAGAGAGAGAGAGAGAGAGAGAGAGAGAGAGAGAGAGAGAGAGAGAGAGAGGAGAGAGAGAGAGAGAGAGAGAGAGAGAGAGAGAGAGAGAGAGAGAGAGAGAGAGAGAGAGAGAGAGAGAGAGAAGAGAGAGAGAGAGAGAGAGAGAGAGAGAGGAGAGAGAGAGAGAGAGAGAGAGAGAAGAAGAGAGAGAGAGAGAGAGAGGAGAGAGAGAGAGAGAGAGAGAGAGAAGAAGAAGAGAGAGAGAGAGAGAGAGAGAGAAGGAGAGAGAGAGAGAGAGAGGAGAGAGAGAGAGAGAGAGAGAGGAGAGAGGAGAGAGAGGATAGAGAGAGAGAGAGAGAGAGAAGAGAGAGAGAGAGAGAGAGAGAGAAGAGAAGAGAGAGGAAGAGAGAGAGAGAGAGAGAGAGAGAGAGAGAGAGAGAGAGAGAGAGAGAGGAGAGCGAGGAGAGAGAGAAGAGAGAGAGAGAGGAGAAGAGAGAGAGAGAGAGCGAGAGAGAGAGTAGAGAGAGAGAGAGAGATAGAAGCGAGAGAGATAGAGAGAGAGAGAGAGAGAGAGAGAGAGAGAGAGAGAGAGAGAGACGAGCAAGACATCCCCACAGATGCGGATCTCCATCTACGCAGCTATGTACACCTCCCTGAAGTCTTGGGACGAGGGCCGGACCACGCCAAACACAGCGCAGCAACGCTCGGGCCTTGATGCTATATTAACCAGTCATCAGCCGATGGCCTTCGAAGCCCGGCCAGTGCTGGCGCTGTCAAACGAACCGTAAGCTCATTGCACCTCCGTAACGCCGAACAGCACGCGTCGCCGTTTGTAACCGAAACGGCTCTCTCAATCGGATCCAGTGAACGTCAGGAAGTCATTTCTGTCACCGCCCTCGTGGCTCTGGCCGCCTTTAGCCGACCCCAGGCAGCACGAGCGCCCTCGGGCTGCCGCCCTGGCCGAGCGGGCCGCCGCCGCCGCCGCCGCCACCACCGCCGCCGCGCCGGACCTCCGTCTTCCATGAACTGAAACGCCAGCCGTCCGCCGCCATATCTGGCCGGCGCTCCGGCAGCCTGTCGCTAAGGAGACGTTGCCATGGTGACGGGCCGGTAGGGCTCCGTGCCGGTCCGGGCCCGGCGTGACGGCCGAGCGGTCGGATTGGCGGATCCGGTGCTTTTCGGACGCAGCAGGAAGTGTGTGATGTCGTCTTTTGGCACTAATTACGTGATCACTAGTCACTAATCACGATCATTAGCGTGGCCATAACTGTGACCAGTGGGGCCCGAAACCCGGCGTCTTTTTGGCACATTGGGCGTATGCCGTGTTTGGCCCACACAGAATAGCGCCAAATTGGAATGGACCCCAGTAGCCTTCGGACACTCGTAACTAACCTATAACGTGCGACAGCCGGAGGTCGGGGTGCGAATCCTCCTATTTCAGGAATGTCTTCCGAGTCACGAATAACTAAAAACGCGCTCGTACAAAAAAGCACATTGATGTCCTAAGGGGCAAGGAGATCAATAATTTGCGCATGAATGCCCTGAAAGCATAAGCCTTCATAAGTTTTATGTCACTGCGCTGTTCGGCATTGAGTGAATGACACCGGGAGTGCAGAAGTGAAAAGGCCGATGGAATGGTCTGTGTTCCGTCTATGGAATGCTCTGTGCTTCGTCTATGGAATGCTCTGTTCAGTCTATGGAATGCTCTGTGTTCAGTCTATGGGATGCTCTGTGTTCAGTCTATGGAATGCTCTGTGTTCAGTCTATGGAATGGTCTGTGTTCCGTCTATGGAATGCTCTGTATTCCGTCTATGGAATGCTCTGTGTTCAGTCTATGGAATACTCTGTGTTCCGTCTATGGAATGCTCTGTGTTCCGTCTATGGCATGCTCTGTGTTCCGTTTATGGAATGTTCTGGCAGCTTTTGAAAAATCGCGTGACGTTCCGTTGGAATGGAAGCAGGCTGGATTAATTATAACAGCTGCTGCTGCTGCACTGGGATTGCCGCTTTTGAGCTCCGTAGCTGTTGTAGCTGGACTAAGAGGACCGTTGCCGTCGCTGCAGTAGCATCACGCAGGAGGTGTATGTTCCTTTTCAGCTTGTTTCGTACGCCCTCGTATGTCCTTCGTCCTGGCCGTGCTACAGAATGTGCCGCCTTACGACAGCTCACGTGTCCTGCCACCCGCAGCTGGCTGCACTGGCTGCCCAGTTGCCCAGCTGCCCGAAGTCCTTGGAGAAGTCCGGTTGGTGGTTCGTTGCGGGCATGGTTTAGCCGTTGGCCGCTCGCCCAGCCCCCTCCCCTGCTGATTTAACAGGGCGGGCACCCCTGGGCCGCTCTGGACGCGCTGGCGGACACACCGTCTCAGCGCAGCTCGCGGCACGGGCGGCGCCAGCCTCCTGTGGCGGGCTGGGCAGTGGGATGCAGGACTCCGGTCAAGGGGCAGTGAAGTGCAGTGGAGTCCCCACTGCTCCTGAAAATGGCTGAATTTTCCGGTCGAAGTGTTACGAGGAGCCGTCTCACGTGTCACGCGAGTGTCCCTGGCGGGAATAATGAGCGACACCCCGGGCCGGTCAGCGGCGGTTTGTGAGCGTGACCGCTGATGGGGGCGATCTTGGAGAGCTGCAGGTCATGTCTGACCTGGGTGCACTGTTCCCGCCTACTTGGTATCCTGAAGTACCTCTGGCTAAACGCCTGCGCATGCTTTGGGTGCCGAGACCTCAACACTTTGGGAGCTGGTGACTTTTCTGGTGTCTTTATCGTCCCTCAGATTTTGTGCTTGATGTGCTGGTGGTAACGAATTGTTGCCCCTGCTCTTTCTCTGGTGCAGCGATGATTCATAATTGTCTCTTCCTTCTCGGGAACCTAATGAGGGCCATTGTGACCCTTTTTATTGAGAGCCAGCGGCTACGGTGGCCGTATTGCCCCCCCCCCCCCCCCCAGTGGTCATGGCGCAGCTGGGACTCGAACCCGGACCCTCCACGTGAGAGGCCAGACTTGGATCTTGGTACGGACCTGAGCTCTGGTAGGACCTTGTAACCATGTGAACGGCAAGGACGGGCAGCATCTGTTTGAATTTTAAATGTGACCGTTGCCTGGTACGGCAGCTATGTCGCCATTGCAGCAGATGCGAACATTAGACGACAGCGAAGTGATGCTGCATCGCTCCAAGGACGACCGTAAACATTTTTGTTGTTGCCCGTGTCCGTGCAGATGGTAACGGGGGACATCCACTCTACATGAATTTCTATGTTTTAGTCATATTTAGTTTGGCGCGCCCAATCAGCAGTTGGAGCTGCTGGCCGGGCAACAGGCGCCCAATTCTGTGATATCTCCCGAGGGCGGATTAATCACGCTCGCCAGCGAGCCCCTCGGGAAGTTGTGTGACTGGGCGGGCCGTCAACACGTAGCGCCAACATTGGATTTCCGCAGCGCTGGTGCCTGATCAGGTTGTGCATCTTAAATTTTATATATTTTTTGAAATTTGACACTCGCTGGTGTGAAAACGTCTTCGTTTTTCCCCACGTTATTGCTACGTAGTAGGTTCAGCTTTGCGCGTGATTCGTTAGCGATGCCAGTTTCCCACACGACACCATGGCAGACATATCACCATACTGACGCTCGACACCGGCTTACATATACGATGCTTGAAAGCCTAGATACTTACTCATTTTTAGATGATTAAGCAATTACTTAGTTAAACTATTATGGCAGTTATGGGATATCGTTTCCCGAGGCGGGGCATTTAGCAGCATTCTGAACCTTCTTAATGAACTCAGAGGTACGCCTGAGTGACCCACACGGCACGAACTCCACGAGGCCGTCATGTGATCCCACACTCTGTGGTCTGGCACGCCGCTGACATGACCGTAACCCAGCCTCCCCCTGCCGACAGACCGGGGCGCCGACTGACCGGGCGCTGACACCAGAGGTCGTCTCAGCTCCCTGAGAGGTCCGCCTGCCGATGACGCCGGTCGGCGAGGGGGCGCGCCGGGCGGCGCCCCAGTCCACCCCGCCCACCGTTCACGGTGAGTGGACCCGCTGTGGCGAGGAGCCGTGCTGTTCAGCTGCCGTGTATGTGACAGCAGAGGCTCAGTGGACAGCTCGTTGGCCGCAGCGGACGGAGGAAGAGGTTTGTGCGTCGTAAGTGCGCTGTACGGCTTATGATGCCGTGGCGCAGCGTCCGCACCAGCTTGACAAGGTTCCGCACGTGCTACCGTTGCGCTGTGTGCAATTATGTTCCCCCGCACGAACCCCCGCCCGAAAAGTTCGGCGCTCCATCTTCAATGCTGTCGGGCTGAGATGGGAACTTTTCCGCACAATCTCATCGGGAATGTGGGTCAAATCTGTAAATCCCCGGCACAATTCTGAGATTACCGGCTAGAGGAACAGTTTGACACTTTTGACAGGTTTTTGCATTCTCTGGAAGGCCTGTTTATTTATGATGTTTTATCTGAGCGCCGCCTCATTTGTCATCGACCGAAGTTCCTGTTGACGGCGAGCTTATAAACCAGCGACGCGATGGGCCCTCTCCATGCCACCGGGACCCCGGCCCTGTGAGGCGATGAGCACGTGTGCGCGGGCATGTATATGGATAGTGTGCCGAAATTTACTTTACCGTATGCGTCTTCGGGCACGTGGATAATTGTGCAATGAATATGCTCATTGTTACAACGATGGTCTCTACAGCTTAACATGCTACCGGGATACTCCACGGAAGTGCTGTATAACGGGGTTTGGGATGGGGGTGGGGGTGGCGGGGGGGGGGGGGGGGGGGGCGTGGCGTGCGGGCGCTCGTTCCGATGTCGAAGAGGTCCGCGGCCAGGGTGTGACCGTGCTGCCCTACTGAAGCTGTGAAGCTCTGAAGCTGGTGCCCGCCCAGGGGCGCAGTTTTGCAGAATGAGTTGGGGGGGGGGGGGGGGAGGGATCGCTGAACAGTGGAAAACACGAAACCTTCCTCCAAAATATTCCAAATGGGAACGGATCTCTCTCCTAATTTGACCCACTTTCTCGAAGTTGGGGCGAGGATAAAACCCAAGTTTGGGATTGAGGCTCCACAAACTGAGTTCAGCATAACGAACCTGTGCCCGTGTAGTGTTGAACTGTCTGTGTACGTGGTGATCTGTATATATATATATATATATATATATATATATATATATATATATATATATATATATATACACCCTAATTCGGGGTCAAGTCTAGCCTAAGAGGCCGTTGTTAATACAGCGGGCGCTGATGGTGTGGTGTTAGCACGCAGTGGCGAGCGGAACTGATTCCGCAGCAGTACTTTACCGCTGCAGTCTGCTGCGGAACTGGTCAGGAGTATCAGCAGCCAAGTGCACAATTCACTAACAATGATCGACAGCCAGGGAAGGAGGAAATGCATGCTGACCGTCAGAATGAAGGGTCATGACCCTTAGCGCACCCTTACACCGGCTGACAACACAAGCAGGCGATGAGATTTCTTGGGAGAGATACGTTGACAGATTCCCTGTCATGGCCTTTACAATCCCCAAATCATCACGTTCCGTTTATTCCGCCGGTTTGTATATATATATATATATATATATATATATATATATATATATATATATATGTATATTTCTATTTCTATTTATTACTACATATGTTTACTATATATATACACATATACTTGGACTCGGTACCTCTGGGTAGCCATTAGACGTGGTCCTGTGCAGTGAGCCGAGCGACTGACTAAATTCATGCCGAATGGTTAGCCAAGTGTGTGTCCGTGTTGGTGAATGAGTGCTTACCGAAAGAATCTGTCTGAGTGAGAAGTGCTTGTGCGACTGAGGAATGCAAGTTAAGCTTGTTGATCGACCGCATGATGAATGCTAAATCTTGGATCGTTGTGATGACAGAGTACTGCAGGTCCTTTTCACACCAGTGCCTTTGTTCCGGAGTGCTCTACCGGGGAGCTGGGGCGCCGGAATACCGTTGTGTCACAGTGTCTGTGACTCATGTCTGAGCGCACTTGTGCGTTAGTGCCCTGGCCTATGTTTCGCTTTGAACACGAGCGAGCCCTTGTGCCTGAGTGAAATTGTGCCGGAATGTCTTTGCATCGGAGTGCTTTTGTGCCAAAGTATCTCCGCGTCGGAGTACCCGTACGCTGGAGTGCCTCTGTATCGGAATACCATTTCACCGGAGTGTCTCTGTGCTGGAGTGCCAGAGTGCCTCGAGGAGTGCCTTTGTTGGGGAGTTCTGAAGTGCCGGCGATGAGTGATCACATCCGCGCGCCGGCGGCGGTGGCGGCGGTGCGCGGGCGCGCTTCCGGGCCGGACCGTCTTCATTGATCGCCGTCCGAATTGCCGAGGTCAGGTCGGGCCGTGTGCGGCGGCGCGCGCGCGCCGGCCACGCCGCCGGCCGCGGCGCCGTCAGTGGCCGCGGCGGGAGCGCCCGCGCCCGGCCGGCCGTCCGCCGCCGCCCGCTGCCCGCCGCCTGCCGCCTGCCGCCCGTCCCGCCGCACAGTCCGGTCCGGCCCAGCGCGGCCCGCTGCCGCCCAGCCGACCGTGGCCATCCAGGTATGTTAGGCGATCCCTGGAGAAGTCTGTGCCTGCTGGAGAAGGCTGTGCCTGCTGGAGGAGGCTGTGACTGCTGGAGAAGGCTGTGCCTGCTGGAGGAGGATGTGTCCGCTAGAGAAGGCTGTGCCTGCTGGAGAAGGCTGTGTCTGCTGGGGGAGGATGTGTCCGCTGGAAGAGGATGTGCCCGCTGGAGGAAGATGTGTCCGCTGGAGGAGGATGTGTCCGCTAGAGGGGCCGTTTCCGCTGGAGGAAGTGTGTCTGCTTGCAGGAGTTAGTTGGGGACGTGCAGCCCCGTCTGTCCCGTGCCGGGCTCGTACTGGCGCTGCACTGAAGGACTGGGTGCGGTGGCTTGGTGTTGGGCGCGTCGGCTTCGAGGCCATTTTGCGCCCACCTGTACCGAAGGAACACCGCCCAACGCGACTGCGATGGAGCGTTGCGTTAGCGCCAACCCTCGCCCCATTTGAGATCGCACTAGTGTGGTGCTGAACGGATCGCTTGCGACCCGGAAAGGAGTTTAAACAGAACAGTTCGTTTTACACCCGTGTGTAGCCTGCTAGTGGGGCGGAACGTTGGAAACACTGTAGACTTTCTCATAAAGGCAGTTTGTTGTAAATTTGCATTGCAGTTTGTAAATTTGTAGATGTATTTATAAAAACGTGTTTCATAAAGCAGAAACCTACAAACAACTACTAATTACAAATCTACAAATCCACACACAAAATTTTAAAAATTTCTCGAGCATTTCTACAACCGTACCATGGCATGTTGCATAAAGACCAGCTAATTTTCCAGCCGCGGTACATTTGTAAGATTAAAAGAACAGATCACAACTACAAATCAACGATGGCCTACCCCATTGTAGAAAAGGTAATCGTAAGCTTAAGGCAATGACAGTAGCAGAAATGGATTGAAGACGCGAAGCTCGCAGAAAAATGAGGCTTGCATGAATCTCCCGGGCAAAATAAGCAAGTTCTCAGAGGAAGTGCAAGGATAAACAAGCTCGCAGAACACAACGCTCAGAGGGAGCAAATCAGTGACGGTGTTGATGGATTAATAATCTCCAACTCTGCGTATGGCCGGTGTAACCGAGAGTGCAACAAGTCTATTCCTTTGCGTTATTACCCATCACTATGAGTGACCTTGGCAACCGCACCGACCCGATTCAAATCCTGCGTCGTCGTGTGCTTGTGTGCTGAGGGACTGGGAAGCTACTGATACGGAGGTGATTATTTTCCGCGATTAGGTCTACTGACATCCAGGTCACTGCCACGCTGAATTGGCTGTATTTATAAGTTATGGAATATCTTGATTTTAAGTGTAGTTTCTGCACACACAAGTGGAAACAGGTATGCTCCACCTATCAAACGGCGGGCATGCGACGACGTTGATCTCAACCCCAAACGAGGACAGCTATCGTCGTGTGTGAACGATGCATGAATCCCATGTCTGTGAGTAGAATATAGGTACCTATCATGGTAAAACAACACTGGTATTATGGGCTTTTTTTTACTTGGGTACCTGTATTGCCGACGGTGGGGAGAGAGCTACGCTGGCTACGGGGTTCCTGTACTGCCATGATGGAGAAATGCTGTTAGGTATCAGCCGACGTAGTGACGTCACTGAAAATGGGTTTGCATCGATCGGGATTCTTTTGGGCCGACTGAAGGCTACAAGGCATTTGCTAGCGATATGATGTCACTGGTATTCGACTGGATATGTGACGTCACGGGTTGTGAGGCTTTAGGGCTCTTTTGGGTGCAATGAATGCCGTAAAGCATCACCTGACGATATGGCGTCGCTGGTATTCAATGAAACATCAGGCGCAACGGGCCTTATTCCATCTTTACCTCTCGTACCTGTCTGCTGCAAGCATTTGCGTGCCGAATAAAAGCTTGACCGAATCACCTGAATGTGTGACGTCACCAATCATCACTTGATACGAGTGCACTTAGGCCCCACGGCCGTGGTGTATCATGTTCCGTGAAATATCACTGGGTATCGTGACGTCAGTGATATTCGACTAAATATTGGTCGCAACACGTCAAGGTCCATTTTTAGCTTCGTACCTGTCTACTGCAAGCACTGGCGTGATGAATAAAAACTACCAAATCACGTGAGTGTGTGACGTCACTGGTCATGCATTTTTATGGATCTTTGGGGGCCAACTGAGGGCCGTAAAGCATAACCTAATGATGTGACGTCACTGGCATTCAACTGTGTGTGATGTCACTTGTGATCAGATTTTACGGCCTCTTTTGGGCCGACGAAAGGTCATACGACATTAACTGAAGATGTGCCGTCACTGGTATCCGAATACAATTCAGGCGGCCATGGCCATGCTCCATCTTTACCTTTAGTACCTGTCCATTGCAAGTATTTGAATGCTGAAGGAAGGGTCTGCCGAATTACCTGAGTGTGTAACGTCACTAACCATTAACTTGTATAGACTGTTTTGAACCCACTGTAAGCCATACCACATC